TGGTCAGGCTACCTATCTTCCCCCAATTTTTTTAATCCTGCAAATGTGTTTTTCCTTTTACTGTAGTGTTTTGCAGTTAAAAAATCATAAAGATTTACTCATGAAGGTTTATACAAAGTCATAAGATTTACTCATGAGCTATAAATGAGTCTAGAAGATAGAAATAAATAGGCCCTCACAGTAAGCCATTCAGCATGGATTTAAGAGAATGGTGGATGACATTGGTTGGATATTATTGCGGGGGGAAGTGATTCTGTCATCCATGTTTAGAAGCTTAAGTGTCCTCAGGGTCCATCTTTTGGAGGTGCAGGCGTGGCACGTTGAACACAGAGCCTTGTCAGGAGTGTATGTGTGGCTGTAATACAATCTTCATGGTTCTTTTTCATTTGGGGTTTTTCAGGCTGCACTCTGGACCTGTTAACTCTCTTCCCATAATTTCTGACAACAGGCCTTAGGTCAGCAACAAGGTACTAGTGAGTGTAGCACCTGAAGTACTCAACAGACTCTTCAGAAGATAGTACTTGCACATCAGACAGATGGACATGGGCACTCATCTTGTTTTGGTTGGGAAAGAGTTGTAGCTTCTACACTTGAGTGAGCCGTGGAGGTAGAGAACAGTCTGCTGCTCGTTTGGAATGCCAGTGTGTTAAGGGAGTCCCGGGAAGTCCATATTTTATTCTGGAGATTCCCAACACGAAGCATTAGAGCTTGAGGCTGCCTCTGTTGCTTCTGTCTGAGATTTCTTAGTTGATGAGAGCTACTAGGATAAGAAATCATGCTGTGCTGTTCTCAGTCATGTCCAACTCTTTGCGACCCCATGGACTATAACCCTCCAGGCTCCCCTGTCCATGGGATTTTCCCTGCAAGAAAACTGGAGTGGGATGCCATTTCCTCCTTCAGGGGATCTTCCTGACCCAGGTGTCAAACCCACATCTCCTGCATCTCATGCTTTGGCAGGCAGATTCTTTACCATTGAGTCACTGGGGAAGCCCTCAAGAAACCATAACACTCTCTCTCTCTCTCTCTCTCTCTCTCTCTCTCTCGGCGACTTCCCTATAGCTCAGATGGTAAAGAATCTGCCTGCAATGCAGGAGACCCTGGTTTGAAGAACCATCAGTTCAGTTCAGTTCAGTCACCCCATAACCCTTCTCAAATCTCCAGGACAAGTGCATTACTCAAGTGCATTTGTCTTTCATTCATTCTCTTTTCATTGACTTTTCTCCCTCCTAGCCTGTGTTTATCTTTTCTCACTCACTTTTTAATACTGATTATCTCCAACAGTGGTTCCTACCATTAGCACATAATGATACATAGTGAATGAATTCAAGCTAAATAAAAGGAACCAGTAAGAAATTAGACTTTAAAATGGCAGTTATCTTTGAAGTTTGACCATTGCCAAAATTCTGAAAAGGAAATGGTGATTTTTTTCCTGTTTCTGCATTTAATATGATGTTAATAGCTACTGTGCTATTAGCATGTAAACATCATTGAAGCTTAGCTTGACTCAGAAGTTGCCAGAAGCAAAATAATATGCTTGTTAAGCTGGGGTCAGCTGGAGTAATGTGACCCTAGCATTTTGTAAAGTCTGGGTCCGTGCATCCTTCCGTGTAGCAGGCCTTCTAAACCTTTGTACAGGAAGAGACATTTCTTTCTTTTGATGAGCAGGTCCTCATCAGACATAGTACAGTATGGTAGGGAGGAAAAAAAAAAAAGTTCCTCCCACGCTGTCTTTCTGTGAGTTTCATAATCTTGTGCTAAATTTGGCTATTCCTGACAATGAAAGTAAAATGACAATACTTCTCATGCATCTGGGACAATGAAACAAGGAAAATATAGTGCTTTTCAGAATGTGTAGACCCAACTTCATGGTTTTGATGGTGAACTTGGTAGAAAAGCCATGCACTGATGTGAATCAAAAGCCTGTAAAAGGACCTGTTTTCCAGGTTCTGAGCTAACCTATTTCCTTTTGATCCCACCCCAAATCCCATTTTTCTGTACCCATTTGCTATTTTGAATTGACTCAACATTTTGGATCTTCCTAGGGCTTTGTGTGAGTAATGAGTTTGGGTGTTCCCTTTCTGTGATGAGCCTGAATATACCTGTATATCAGTCATATTCAGTGAAGTTCGTTCATGTGTAGTTTAGATAAATCTGGCTCTTAATCCATAGAGCCTCTTTACTTTCTGATGGAATCAGGTGGTGGCTGCATGTGGGGTTGTTGAGGGTATGAGAAGAAATCAGAGTGACTGACTCGTCCCAGTTTTAGCACTTCCTATGTCCAGGAAAGGCCCCCATCCTGGACAAACTGCATGAATTTGTTCAGAATTGTCCCGGGTTTAAAACTTAAACTCCTTGACCTCAGGCCATCTTAGATGGTTGTTTAATCTAGTACAAATGAGGGTCCACATACTTCAATCCAAATACTTAAGAAATATAAATCAAGTTAATGACTTGTTAAATTAAAAAAAATAAGTTCTATTCCCCTACCTTGGGCTTCCCAGGTGGCACTAGTGGTAAAGAATCCTCCTGCAACATACTAAATGTGGGTTCGATCCCTGGGTTGGGAATGTCCCCTGGAGAGGACATGGCAACCCACTCCAGTATTCTTGCCTGGAGAATCCCATGGACAGAGGAACCTGGAGGGCTACAGTCCATGGGGTCGCAAAGAGTTGGACATGACTGAAGTGACTTAGTCCATTCTGTTACCTTGGCAAATATATATTTATAATGACCTGGAAGCCTGGGTTTGCAGGTCGGATTCTCAGACTCTTGGAGTTCCAAGCTGGAGCATAGTGGTTTCAGTAGAGCTGGTCCCCAGTCATGGCCCCTGCGCTGGGCTTCCGGTGATATGGTGAGAGCTGTATGAAGGGTATGGGTGTGCATGTGGACACCTCAGCCCGCCTGTCCTGGCTTACACTCACTCCTCACCCCTCCCTGGGTCTTGTGTCAGAGCGTGCTCATACTGGTGGCCCCTGTTGTAGGGAAGGGGCTGACCAGCCCTAGGAAATTTGTGCAGGGCCATGGTGAGAAAATTCTGGGCCTTGGAGACCTAGAGTGAGGTCTAGAAGTGAGGAGCAGACTCTAGTGGGCAGATGCCTTGCAGATTCAGATTGTATGTTGAGAGATCAGTGGGACTGGATCAGAATGGGATCTTCTGAGGGATGGGATGGGGAGGGAGGTGGGAAAGGGGGGTTCAGGATGGGGAACACATGTACACCCATGGCTGATTCATGTGAATGTGTGGCAAAAACCACTATAATATTGTAATTAGCCTCCAATTAAAATAAATTAAAAGCAAAAGAAAAAAAAGTAACATTACTGAGCAGTGCAAAGAATGACTTTCTCTCTTGGGATTATAGAACCTTTTCTTCAGCAGTGGTGGAAAATCCTAACTTTGGGGGGACGTCATTAGGTCCAAGGACGTTGCAAAGAGAAAGGACTTCAGAGGATGGGCAGATGTCCTGTTAATGACATTCCCAGAGCTTTCATTGAGACATTCCCTTGCTTTATTCACTGAATTCCCCTTCAACCTGCAGAGTCACTTTCAAGAGCCTTCTCAGGAATGTTGTATCAGCTACAAATAATTCTGACAATGTCTATTGATATTTTATAACTCAAAGCTATTTCAAAATGATGTTTGGGATTATAAAACTCAAAATATAATTGAAAATGACTGGAATGATGACTTTGCATGAATTGACATAAGGTCATTAGAAGTGGCTGTACAGGTTGTGCACGTCACAATTTCAGGTGGTTATATTAACATTGATGACAGTCTTAATGGTGCCCCCTAGAGTTGTACAAAGCACAGCAGTATGCAATATCCCTGAATCAAAGTGCACGGCAATCTACTTGCTTTTTCCCCTGCTAAAATAGGTATCTTCTAGGTGAATTGTATTGAAATTCTGGCTTGAATATTAGGATCAGTTTTATTTGGTTCTTCATTTAGATTAATCTTGATTATTTACTAAGAGCTATAAAAACAGAAAATAGCCTCAAAGTTCACTCATTTTAAGTATTTTTCTGCTAAGAGTTCAGAAATCAAATGAGAATAAAGTAAATTTTATAGTTTACAAATTTTATTTTTCACACAGTGAGGAAAGACTAAAAGCATAGAAGGTGACTTTGGAAATTCATTTTGTAATCACTTAAATGTTACATCAAATTTTGATTTTAATTCCAAGCAGGCCTTCATATAGATACTATAGTTTCAATAGTTTGATTGAAGAATAAGTAGCAAATTTTTTTGTTACCTGTTCTTGTTAACAGTGATTTTAAAAAGGCAAAAAAAAATTTTTGCAAATTTTCTTAGGAATATTTTAAAATAGAATATCCTGACTATCAATAAAGACATATCCAAAAAAAATGGCATACTCTTGAATTTCTTTCTTGACATAACATTTTTTGTAACCTCAGTAGAGAAAGTACATTTATTTTTCTGTGTTATATTAGGGTAATAAAAGGGTTATTCTGTCTTGGAAATATCCCTCAAGACAAAGTGGAGAGAAAAATTGTACTTTAGGTGTTATCATCCAGTCTGGTTAATAATGTGTTTGTGAATACAAATGGACCTGCCAAAACAAAGTTTGAAAGTAAACCCTGAGTCATCAGTGAATAATCAAAGTGGATCAGAAATTATCTTTTTCTGGAATGAAAATACCAAAATTACAATTAAATTGATCAAATGTTTAATAGAAAACAGCAAAAAAAAGTGGTCATAGTTCATTGATGGTTGAATTTTTTCTCATTAAAGTGTTTTTAATTTCTGTTTGCCCTTTTCTTTTCCTTTTTGGAATAGAGACAGGGGTTGTGGGCTTGGGAAGAGCAACAAGGTTAGCATGAAGCAAACCTAGAATTTCAGATTTTATTTACCTATAAAATAATCTATTCAATTTAAAACCTTCAATATGTATTTAGCCAATTTTAGTGGATTTAGTTAGTAATTTTTTAACTTTGAATGCATACTTAACAAGATATCTTTGTTTTGTTTTGCTTTTTAGGTGCAAACCCAAATTATCCTGATGTAATTTATGAAGGTAGCTATCATGTGGTCTGTATTTGTATTTTTTCAAAATATTTGTCTAAAATGTAATAAATCAACTGAAAGAAGAACTTTAAGCTCAATTAAATATACACTTCAAGCATGACTTAGGCCAAAATAATACTTCAAAAATCATTGGGTATTGATGGCTGTTTTCCCTTGATATTTACAATGCCTGTAAATAGTGCTTTCTCTCTCATGCTTGTTCTTGGAAGTAGTAAATCCATTCCGCTGTAACAGACATTTTTGTTTCCATAATTGGGAACTAATTACCTGTTTAAAAGCCTTGACTACCAAGAAAAGGGAGGTGTATCAGTTTCTGGCTATGATGGTAAACCCAATTCAAAATTATGTTTCTTATATAATGAAAAAGCCTGGCTCAGAGACAGGAACCTCAAAGGCAAGGCTTTTAAGGTTGGTGAAACCAGCAACTCAACCATATCATCAGGGATCCAGGTTTGTTTGTGTTTTTCCATCTCTGCACCCTTCTGCCCATTGTGCTGGCTTCACTGAAGGCTGGTTTCTCTTATGGTCTTAAAATGAGTCATTCACATTGATGGGAGAAAGGGAGGAACTTTTGAATTTGTTCCAGAAGAAGGAGAACTTTCCCAGAGACCTCCATCAAACCCTCCCTGTTTCTGACTCAGGACTCAATTGGGTCATGGTTCATTTTTGCCTCCAGTATTGAGGGCTGGATTAACCCTTGGTTAAATAGATCCACCCCTGGAGTTTAGATCAACTTTCCTAGAGGAATAAATTCCCTTGAATAAAATGGGTCTCTCTTAAATGGTAATCTGCCTGCAAGGCAGGAGACCCAGGTTCGATCTCTGGGTTGGGAGGATCTCCTGGAGAAGGGAATGGATACCCACTCCAGTATTCTTGCCTGGAGAATTCCATGGACAGGGAGCCTGGAGGGCTTCAGTTCATGGGGTTGTAAAAAGTCAGACACAACTGAGGAACTAACCCTTTTACTTTTGGAATGTGGAAGGAGAGAACCAATCTGTCCGCTGTATTAGTTTACCAAATATCTCATCTTTCCTTTGCTATTTTAATTGAATTCCAGGGTCATTTTACTAGGTATGAGAACCCTTTGTTAATCGTTTTGAAACCACCTTCATGACCAGGAGGCTTCTTTTAGGGAAATGGCAGGCTCAATTGCAAGACTTGGCTTGAAATTTAAAATTGATAAAAAGTTACATTGATCAAAACGTTGCATTTATATAATTATTTTATAAAATAGTCTATTCTTTAATTCTGATGCACACCTTGACAAAAGTGTACATTTATATTTTTAATGTAAAAATAATTTGCGTTTTTAAATATAAAATGATTCTCTCTGGGTTTATGTGTGTATATTTAACTTGAGCTAATTTTATCTAGGGAATTAAATTGTCTTTTCTTGCTTTATGCATGTTAAGCCATATTTCCTTCAGGCTGTTGTGGATGTGATTTGTGTATTTTTATATTTATTTGTTCTGATATGGTTTAAAGAAAGTGTACGTCAAATTGTATCACAGAGAAATTGTATTGTGATTTTTCCATTTTAAAATTATGTTTTGAACTCCTTTCCAATAATTTTAAGTCTCTAAAATTAAGTCTTTCCATTGGACTCACATCACACTTTGGATATTTGGCCTAAAATGTTGTTATATTAAACTGTAGATACTTTAATGATTTAATTTTGTGTGAGTAGCTGGATATAACATGAAGAGGGAAAATAAGCAAATAAATGATATCTCCTAGTGTTTGAAATATTAATAAGTTCTAATATTTTCAAAATGAAAATGGTAAGAATATAGTTTTGCAGTTAAGAATGAAACAGCCACAGATAGAAAATAAATGCTGTTTCTGTTAATTTTCATTCACATGCAAAGGAACACTCTGCTAATAAGAATATAATTTAAATTGGTTGCCTTGAGGCCAGCATGATATTTCTACCAAGGGAAGATTAGCTGGGGCTGGCTTAATGAGGTTGGTTGTTCAGGATGGAAATTGAAGGCACCATGTCTATTTAGAATAAAAATACAAACCATTTATAAAAAACATTGTCTGCAATAAGTTTACTAAAAACTTTTTATGACTTTTATATATAATATTATTAATAAAGACGCTCCCTACAGAAAAATGATTTATTTCTATCCTGATCCATGTAGGCTAAAATTGATGCAGAGGAGCAGCTACATTTGAGAACTATGAGAACATAGCCTCACAATTCTAACTGTTGTGTTGGTGAAGTTCCCTATACATTAATTCTGCAACTGAAATATTGGCAATTCAGAACTCTTTTAAAAAGTTCAAATGTGGATCCAAGTCGCTCTCAGTGCTGAGTCCACATTCTATTTTAAGTGAATAAGTAAGATGTCCGGAAATCAGTGCTGCTGATTTCAAGTCTGATTTCTAGACTCTGTTGCCTTCTTGCCAGTTGACCTTAAGACTAGTAGTTACTAGTAACATCTCTGAGCTTTCATTCTTCAGCTGTAAAACTGGTGGTTAGACTCAATTTCCAAAGACTCTTCTAGGCCTATAAATCTATGACTCTTGTATGGTCGATTTTTTTGTATTTTCATTAAATACTTTATCAAAAAAGGAATATATTGATTATATACAATATTATATAATATAAAACCTTCACGTGCAGAGAAAAATCCTAAACCTGGTTTGGAATTTGACCAACAAAGGAATGATGTAAAGATCTGAGTTGAATATGATTTTGACATCACTCAGTCTTACAGTGAATTTAAACCAAGGTGGGGGGTGTCATGTTTCTCCCTAGTCACACTGTCAGTGGTTTGGAAGCTTGTGATTTGTCCTGCTTTGTTCTGGATTCTACTGTGGCTCATGTTGGATTGCAGCCTAAAGACAACTTTATGCTTCCTTCTTTTTCCCCTTTCTCCAATTTAAGATTACGGGACCGCAGCAAATGACATTGGGGACACCACGAACAAAAGTAATGGAACCCTTCCCACAGGTGTTGTTGACACGGGTCGGGAACACCTCTCGGTGAGTGAGATGCTTACTTGTTTCCTAAACTGATTCTGAGCATTTTGATTGCTTGAATACCTGAGGGACCTTCAATGCCAGTCTTTCAACAAAACACTTTTATTCAGATGTAAATATGCTGTTGAAGGGTAGAGGAACTAATAGAAAGATTTAAGAGACGTTATAAAGGTCTTCCTTGGTGGCTCAGATGGTAAACAATCTGCCTGCAATGCAGGAGACCCAGGTTCAGTCCCTGAGTTGGAAAGTCCTCTGGAGAAGGGAATGGCAACCCATTTCAGTATTCTTGCCTGGAGAATTCCATGGGGTCACAAAGAGTCAGACACGACTGAACAACTAACACACACATAAAGGTGCTATATAGCTTCTGACTTATTGCTCATGATTCCTGTCTTAAATATCTGTCCTTTAGGGACTTCCTTGGCTGTCCAGTGGTTAAGACCCTGCACTCAACAGGGGACATGAGTTCCATCCCTGGTCTGAGAACTAAGATACCACATGTCACTTGGAAGCCAAAAACAAAACAAAAGACAGATACAAACAAATGTTGGCAAGGTTGTGGAAAAATAGAAAGCCTTAGACATTACTGCGGGCATGTGTGTGTGCCTGTTAAGTTGCTCAGTCATATCCAACTCTGTGACCACATGGACTGCCAGGCTCTTCTGTCCATGGAATTCTCCAAGCAAGAATACTGGAGTGGGCTGCCATGCCCTCCTCCAGAAGATCTTCCTGGCTCAGGGATGGAACCTGCATCTCTTGGGTCTCCTGCAGACAGGTTCTTTACCACTAATGCCACCTGGGAAGCCCCTAGATATTGTTAGTGAGAATAAAACATGGTATGGTAACTTTCAAAAACTTTAAGTTTCTCAAAAAAAATTGTCCTTTAAAAGATTATTACTAGACTGTCAAGAAACCAAATTTCTCATTCAGTTGTTGTTCTTCAGTTGCTCAGTCATGTCTGACTCTTTGTGATCCCGTGGACTGCAGCATGCCAGACTTCACTGTCCTTCACTATCTCGTGGAGTCTGCTCAAACTATGCCCATTGAGTCAGTGATACCATCCAGTGATACCATCCAACCATCTCATCCTCTGTCACTCAATCTTTCCCAGATTTAGGGTCTTTTCCAATGAGTTGGCTCTTTATATCAGGTGGCCAAAATATTGGACCTTTAGCTCCAGCATCCGTACTTCCAGTGAATATTCAGTGTTGATTTCCTTTAGGATTGACTGGTTTGATCACCTTGCCATCCGAGGGACTCTTCAAGAGTTTTCCTGAGCACCACAGTTTGAAAGCATCATTTCTTCAGCACTCAGCCTTCTTTATGGTCTCGCTCTCACGGCCATACATGACTACTGGAAAAACCATAGCTTTGACTATATGGACCTTTGTCAGCAAAGTGATGTCTCTGCTTTTTAATATGCTGTCTAGGTTTGTCATAGCTTTTCTTTCAAGGAGCAAGCATGCTTTAATTTTATGGCTATAGTCACCATCTGCAGTGATTTTGGAGCCCAAGATAATAAAATCTTTTACTGTTTCCAGTTTTTTCCCCATCTGCTTGCCATAAAGTGATGGGACCAGATGCCATAATCTTAGTTTTCTGAATGTTGCATTTTAAGCCAGCTTTTTTACTCTCCACTTTCACCTTCATCAAGAGGCTCTTTAGTTCTTCTTCACTTTCTGCCATTAAGGTGGTATCATCTGCATACCTAAAGTTATTGATATTTCTCCTGGCAATCTTGATTCCAGCTTGTGATTCATCCAGCCCAGCATCTCGTTCAGGAATATGTATAATTCTTGTTTCCACATCTTCACACTTGTCTCCTTAAATATCCTAATAAAAATTTCAGTGTCTACAGAACATAAGAAATCCAGTAAGTTCTGAAAGGGGCTGGCCATGGGAGGATATAATAATATCAATGAAATACAGATCTATCCCTTTGGTTCTTATACTTAGGTCAGAGACCTGAAATGTGAATATTAGCACCTAAAATGCAAACAGAGGCTGAGCAAGGTAATGGGAGTGGTAAATGTAGAGGGGCGGCACCCTGGTCCTTCCTCTTAGGAGAGCTGAAGGAGTCTGTAGGACAGGTGTCACAGCCTGTGAAGGATGCATGGGATTTGGACACAGAGGAAAGAAGAGGAAGGGCCTTGTAGGTGTGTGAGCAAGAGCCTGCAAACTGGAAACATTCTTGATTGGAAGGCAAGGCGTGTGAAGGACGGTGGTCAGAGGCAAGGCTGGGGAAGTTGGCCGTGAGATCTTGAACCTCAGTGCCAGGTGGTTAGATTTATGGCACAGTGAAGAACATTAAAGGGGGTGTGAGTTCATCTCCCCAGGACTCTCGGGCAGCAGCTCAGGTCAAAACCCAGCAGATTCCTCCATTCTTTCTTTTCCTTCCTTGCCATGTGCACCCAGTCAGACATCGTGTGAGTTCTGCCTCCTTGTAAACTTCAAACCTGTCTGTCCACAAACTATGGCCCTTGGGCCAAGTTCAGCTTATGTAGTCTGTAGGCTAAGAATAGTTTTAACATTTCTAAGTGGTTTGGAAAAAAACAAAAGAAGGATGACATTTTGTGACACATGAGCTTTATATGAAATTCACATGTCAATGTCCATAAATAAAGTTTTATTAGAATAGAATCATGCCTATTTACATATTGTGTGTGGCTACTTTTGCACTCAAGGGCATATGGAGTAGTTGCAGCAAAATCTGTATGGCCTGCAGCGCTGGAATATTTATCATTTGGCTCTTTGCAGAGAAAGTTTGCCACAATTGCTTGTTCTTGGATGACTGCCACAGTCTCCCACCCTGTCTCCCTCTCCCACTCTTTTGATCTTCTGGCCTTTCTTCATGCATCAGTCTGAGTGACTTTTTTAAAATAGTTGTTTTTTTAAATAAGTTTCAGCTGTACTATATTGTAATTTCACATCTGTATACACTAAAGAGTGATCATCCCACCAGCCTAGTTACCATCTGTCACCATACAGTTGACCCTCTTCACTCATTTTGCTCATCCTGACCCCCTTTCTCTTTGGTAACCACTAATCTGATGTCTGTATCTATGAGTTGGTTTCTGTTTTGTTTGTTTGTTTGTTTTGTTTTTTTAGATTCTACAGATGAGTGAAATCATATGGTATTTGTCTTTTGTCTGACTTATTTCCATTACCATAGTACCTTCAAGGTCCATTCATGTTGTCACAAAAATTGTTTTTAATGGCTGAGTAATATTCCATTGAATAATACTCAATTCCATTGAGTATTACCAATGGAATTGAGTATTATTCCATTAAATAATATTTCAATAAATATATATGTATATATATTACATATCACATCTTCTTATCCATTCATCTATTGATGGACACTTGGGTTGTCAACACATCTTGTCTATTGTAAATAATGCTGCATTGAACATGTGTGTAGTTGCTAAGTCACATTTGACTCTTTGCAACCCCATAGACTATAGCCTGCCAGGCTCTTCTGTCCATGGAATTCTCCAGGCAAGAATATTGGAGTGGGTTGCCATTTCCTCCTCCACGGGATCATCCTGACCCAGGGATCGAACCCACATCTCCTGAACTGGCAGTCAGGTTCTTTTATCAGTGAGCCACCAGCAAAGCCTCTAAATCTTGAGTTTGTTTCTATTTTGCATGTGTATGCATTTGTATTGTTTTAAAATTGCAGAGAGGTGATATCATACAGCATCATACAAGTCTCTTGTCCACTCTTGGCTGCCATAAACCCAGTGCAGTGTTGTGGCATGGGGGTGGTGGGAACAGAGCTTTACCAGGTAGGTAACGGGATCATTCATGGGAAAGCCATGAATGTTGCTTCCCAGTGGATAGTCATGACCATTGAGCATGGAATGCAATGTATGAGCAGGATTCTTGAGGAGGGGAGGCGAGGGACAGAGGGTGGACTAGGTTTCTTTGAGTTCCCAAAGCTGGGTTGGGAGGGAGAGAGGATTACAGTGACCAGACTCCCCTTGTCCTGAAATAGGCAGCCTGACACTGAATCCCAGATACCTGTTCATTGCTGGGAGATAATAATTAGAAGACACACTCTCTCTGTGCCTAAAATTCTTCCCTAGAAATGGTCCATTGAACATATGAGTGCATATATCCTTTTGAATTACTGTTTTCGTGTTCTTGTATAAATACCCAGAAGTAGAATAACGGGGTCACATGGTACGTCTATTCTTAATTTTTTGAGGAGTCTGTACCATTTTATCCTCACCACCAGTGTTTGAAGATTCTCTTGTCTCAATATCCTTGCCAACATTTGTTATTTCTTGCTTTTCAATAATAGCCATTCTAACAGGTATGAGGTGATCTCTTACATGGTTTTGATTTGCATTTCCCTATTAAGTAGTGATGTTGAACATATTTTCATGTGCTTGCTGGCCATCTGTATGTCTTCGGGAAAAAATGTTTATTCAGATTTTCCATACATTTTTAATCTGGTTGTTTGGTTTTCTATTGTTGAGTTGTATGAGTTCTTTATATATTTTGGATATCAACCCCTTATCAGATACATTATTTGTAAATATCTTTTTTCACTCATAGGTTGAATTTTTATTTTGATGACAGTTTCCTTCACCATAAAGGAGCTTTTAAGTTTTATGAAGTCTTATTTATTTATTTTTGCCTTTGTTTCCCTTGCCTTTGCATTCAGATCTACAAAAACATTTTTAAAACTAGTGTCAGTGAGATTATTGCCTATGTTTCCATCTAAGAATTTTATGGTTTCAGGTCTTACATTCAAATTTTTAATCCATTCTGAGTTAATTTTTGCAGGTGGCATAAGATAGTTTTCTAGTTTCATTCTTTTGCATATTGCTGTCCAATTTTCCCAGTACCATTTATTGTGTTGAAGTGACTGTTCTCTACTGTATGTTCTTTGCTCCTTTGTTATAAATTAATTGTCTGTATATATATGGGTTTATTTCTGAGTTCTCACTTCTTTCTCTTGATCTCCGTGTCTGTTTTTGTGCCCATGCCAA